TGTCATTTTAGCTTGTGATTTGGAAGCCTTGAGGTGTTAAAATACTGACCTAGCATATGAAAAATTTGGGGAGGGGGACTCTAAAAAAGATGAAGGCTTTCTGGGTAATAACAAGCAAGCATAGCAACTCCTTTAATCCTTTCCTTCTCCAGAATCTGCAAACTGGTTTCAGAGGATTTGATTTGCTACAAAGCAACATAAGAAAGCTTGTTCACTGCCTCCTCTGAGCTGTGTCACAGGTGGTGTGGTTCATCTCCTTCATCCCAGTACATGAGATAATCTCTGTACCACCTGTATTATGTCTGCCATGAATACAGAGATTCCTAGCCATTATCAAGAAGTCTGAAAACACTAGTTAAAACTTGTGTCACGCCTTTTCCTTTTTTTCCAAACCCTTCAGCTGAAGTAAACTTGAGTGGGTGAGACAGAAAGGATCTCAAAAAATCCAATCTCTGTATTTGCAGTGTTGTATCACCCAGTCTTGCCAAAGTTTTGAGTGTTAATGATTTCCTATCTGCCTGGTTGTTAAAAAAACCCCACTATTTTCCCTTTAAGCCAGTCATCAGGAATGACTTTTAGCATCTGTTTTGTCTTAACACATTTCCTAGGAAATGCCTAAAAAGCACTGCTAATTTCATTAGAGGAAGATGGTGGTTTCCTTGAGGCTGACCTCAGTGTCCCAAGTTCTAAGATCTGTGGAATTTTAAAAAGCCTTGATACAATGGCTTTGAATTGAGGAATGCTAATGGTCCTACACTACCTTCTGAGAGGGATAGCTAAAGAAACAGTCCAATGATTCATCTGAATATTGCAAATACTGTAGTACATTTAAACCAGTAGGTGAAGAATAGAATGATCTTAACTAGATTTATACAGCAGTAATTTAATCAGTACAACAGTGATTTTTTTTTTCACTACCCAGTGACACCTACGGTTTGAAGTGTTCCCTCTCAGGGTTCCTTCTAGGCAAGGTAAACCTCACTTTGCTATTGCAGAGCATAGCCTTGGGGTAATTTCGATTGATCATTTGGGGATGCTTTGTTGTGGATGACTTATTTAATGACAAAAATGGCCTTGTTTTTAAAGCCTTTTGTATTTCAGTATTTTCCTATTGCTAGAGCTAGTTCTTTGTTACCCATTGTACCATAGTCTCTAATCCTAATACTCCTGATTATCCCTACTTACTGTGCTTTAGTTCACACTATGAAGTAGTCTTAGAGCTCTGAGTTCCTTCCAGATGGAGCTAAACTGGAAGATGTGTTCCTTCTGCAAATGAGCATTCAGTCCATGGGACTAGATTAGAACTAGTCCAGAGCATGTCTCAGGAAAGAACAAATCCTGGTGTGCCCATAATGTTGACATCAAATCCTCCACAYTGTTTTTCTCTACAGATGTTTTGGTCAGTTGAGACATAGCCTCTGATRGTAACTTTGCATTTGAGACTAACTTATTTTTGCTTAAGACACTTAACTCTGTTTTAATAACTTAGACACTTGTGTAGCTGCAAGAAAARGAGTGTGTATGTGTGTAAATCGTTCATGCTGAAAATCAGCATAAGCCTTCAAAATTATTTTCWTCATCATGCTCTTGATAGATAATGCAAGCAGTAATGCTATAAGTTAAGGAAAAAATATTATTGTTCCTTGTTTTCCATTTAATAGAGGAGGRGTCCTGTGAGCTTGTTCAGCTCTTCATATGGTAACCAAAGGTGGCACCTGCTAGGGGGACAGCAGGGTCCTGGCAAGCTCTTCCATGCTTCTCGAGGACTTGGGATTCCCTGCATTATGGATATTTGGCTTTGCCCGAGTTCAGCAGGCAGTGGCTAACTGCTGTAATGGGTTTCAAATGGGATGTTACCATAGCATCCTGGGACCATTACAATCTATTTAGAAGTCTAAAGGTTTGAAAAGAGTGCTTGAAAGTTTCTGAACTCTGGCAGGTTGCCGAAATGTAATKACACAAAAGACAAACCCTTATGAAAGCTGCTCTGTTCAGAGAAGCAGCACCTGAGTGCTAGAAATCCCAGAACAGCCATTTTTTGAAAGCTGGAGCTGTTTTATCACAGTATCTTTCCAAAACTTTTCTTCCTCTCACATGCATGTGCCATTCCACAAGCATAGCCTGGRTATGTTGCATATCAGTAAGAATCCCAGCAGCTGTTAAAGTTGCTGAGAACGATTGAGCTTAATGGCTAAATTTGTTCCTCTGTTGTTGATGTCTTGCTTACTTAAGCCATTCCTCTGTGCAGTTTGTTTCATTTTTGTATTCAAAAGGAATTGGAAAAGACATCTGTTTATATGTATATAAAAACCATAGATAAAGTGTTGGTCATATACCTTACCTGCTGTTGGAATACCTGTTAACAACTTTGAGTTGTCATAATTTCTTTCTTCCAGAAACGTTTACCTGTAAGCTTGCCACATTAATGGTAGCTTCACCTCTGGGCAGCTGTTAAAGAAAAGGTGGCCAAGTTATTTTGATACTGCCCATCTGCCCAAGATAAAGGAATTTCAACATATATGGTTTATTCAAAATATATAGTATTCATGTCCCTTGTAGTGATCTTGACTCTGCCTGAGCATAGATCTGTTGATTTGTTATTGGGGTGCTTGCTGGATAGCTCCATCATGTGCTGGCTCCTTTGAGCTGAACTCTTACTAATAAAAAGGAATTTATAAATTACTGTCTTTGAAATGTAGCATCTTAACTGGGATAAAATTCTGACTTCCAAGCTTGAAGTCTTGAGCTTTTAGGGAAAAATTCTTTCATTGTATAGTTAAACAAAATCCTCCTTTACTCAACTAGCTGGCGGCATTTGGCTGTCAGCATATCCAGGTGTGCTGATGTTCCAGCATATCCACCCACTCTTCTAACTGAATAAGCAACAAATGATATCATACCCTCCTGCCTGGTAGGTTTAGAGCCATCCCATGCTGCAAATGCAAGTGACTGGAGTTTTTGCCTGTTAAAAAYAAGGAGTAATATAGCAGGGCTGTCTGCTCTGAATTAATAGTATGTTAGCTTCATGTCTGGACCTTTCCATTACAATTGTGCCAGGATCTGCTTCCTGAATTTGCATCTTCTGTAGATGTTCTGAGCAACATAATTTGGCGCTTGTAATTGTATCATTGTGCCTTCATTTTCTTTCTCTTCCAAAATGTCTCCCTTTCATGTATTATCTTTCTGAAAGCTGCTTTCTTCTATTACGCCAAGTTTCTTCTTTTACATCTGTATTCTTCTTTTCTCCATCAGCCTGTCAAATCATCAGCAAAACAATGCAGATCAGAAATGAAAGAAGTCAGGCTGTGGTTTGGGATGAAAAGATCTGAAATTCCATTTCTAGCTTTGTCACAAGCATCTTGTGGGACTTTCTGCAAGTTGCTTTCCCTTATTCTGAACTCATTCACTCTAAGGCAGTGAGCGACAGCACTTTGTAAGGAATACTCTTTACTTGCAATGATAGTCATGTAATTTTGGCATGTTTTGATCCAGCACATGATTTATTTATTTTAATCTCTTGGGACAATGCTGGTGCTTTAGTGTGCATTAATAAGGTTTCATAAATATGAAATACTGTATTTATCCATGATATTTACAGAAAGAATTCAGGATTCAGGTGTCCTGAGTGTTTCTTAATCATAAGGTGATTGTACTCACTTTATTTGAGTTGCATTGCCTTCTGGGAAGGGGGGCTAGAAACTGTGTTCTGTACTGCCTTTCAACACATGACAAAAAATTCTGTTTGCTCGCACATGTTTGAGAATCAGGACATTAAAATGAGAAAATGTGATTCCTTTTGTAAAAATTGAATGTCTTCTCTACGCACACATATGCACACACGTACATACAAACACACACATATGGCCCCAGTTGTTACATGACTTTTAAAATTTTGCTCAACTCTGTCTGGTATAATTCTCTTTCAAATGTGAGTCCCTTTTCTTTACTATGAAGGATAAAGTGATTTCCACTCTATATTTAAAGAGGTGATTTAAAATTGCAAACAGAGAAGGTTCACACTGACCGCCGGATTTTGTCTGTTGTGGAGATGCTACCTATGGAGAGGATCTGCTGTGATGAAAGTAAACTTGTATCTTTTCATTAATTCTCTCCTATGAGGGAGAGTTAAGCTGCTGTCCCAAGTGAATGTTTTAATGATCTCTCTGGAGTGTTTCAAAGCTTTGTCCCACTTGCATGGTGCTGAGCRAAATGCACAAAATCTATCTTTGAGGCAACCCTGTCATTATACGTTTTGGTATATAATGTTTGTATTTGCATTTCTTTTGTTCTTGTATGTTGAGCTTTACCATGCCCAAAGGACAACTTCTTGCACTTCAGAGAAACCTTTGTAAGACAAATGTTTGCTGTAATAAGKTAGCCTAAAGTGCTTACAGCTCATATTTTAGAAATCTGTAACTAAAATACAAAAATGTGAATGTCAAATTGATGATCCATCATAATGACCAGCTACTCTTTTCAAAATGCAAATTGTTGTTTAGTGATGTGTTAATCAGTCTTTCATCACAACTACRGTAAATTTTATACATCCAACAGTCAAGTTTCAGTAACCTAGAAATGAAATCTTGAGGCTTCTCTTAAAGATGACTTTTTTTTGTGGATTTAAAGAAAACTGTAATGAAAAGCAGCAAAGTTCAAATGGTACTAAAAGAAAGGGCATCTTCTGGTCAGATAAACAACTGTTACTCTTGGCGAGCCATTTTCCAGTGGACTGTTTTCAAATAAGTGGCTCTTGGACACCCCTTGCTGGGATTCTTTAGAATGTGTTTTGCTTTCACAAACCTCTAATTCCTATAATTAAATTTCAATGTGTGGTTTTTGCAAATGATCTTCTCTCTAGAGAACAGATGGGTATAAACTTTGGAGATTTGGTTTCACAAAATATAATGGCCAGTGGTTTTCTTGCTACTGTTTTAGTTGTTCCCAGAACATTCATGTTGGTTCAGCTTTCTAACATTCTTGTTTTTACTTTATGTCCACAGTTTTAACAGCGTGCGGCAAGGAACACACATTTTGTTCCGTGAGTTCAGCTTTGTCCAAGCCACCCCTCATAACAGGGCATCTTTTCTTCGGACCTTCTGGAGGTGTTTCCGAACTGTGGGGAAAAATGGAGGCAAGTATTCCAGCATCTGCTGCTGTCTTGCTACCTTTACGTGAAAATCRTCAGCTAGGCTGTTAATGCAGCAGAAATACYGACTCTTCACAMTGTGTTYTAATGTTCTGACATTGTTAATAGGRAGACACCATCACATTTTCTTGTGGAACTTGTAAAAACTTCTCCCAGAATAYAGTAGTAATATAGTAGTGTAGAAGCACTTCGTTGCTGCTGCTACTTCTGTTACAGAACAGCATGTCAAGCAATAGATCAGAGGCAGGACATTGTGGGCCTTTGCATTGGGATGGATAGGAAAAAAAATGTGCTGGAGATTGGTGGGTGGGACCCAGAGAGGGTTAGAACATCGAGTGTGGAACATGAGGGAGGAAGGTGCTGATATTCTCAGCCATTTGGGCTACTGAGTGCTTTCATTAGGAGCCTGCAGGAGCATGGGTTCATAGTGGTGGGGGGCAGTGAACATCGCCACCTAAGCTGTCCCTGAGCTAATCCTGGCATAGCTCCTACATGATGGTGCAGAATCCTGATGGCTGTGGAAGAGGGACCACTGAAAACTGTGTGACCTCTTCCTCAACCCTACCCACAAGGACAAAGCTCCAGTGCCAAGATAACTAGTCAGCACTGTACTATCATGTCTAGCTATTCTTATATTGCACTTGGTATATTAGGTATTACAGAACTGGCCAGAGTTCAAAATAAACTCCTCTAACTACATGCAACTAAAATTATGTTTAGTTTTACCTTTTAATTTAGTATTTTAAGCAAATACACTGAAAGTTGCTGTACAAATATGAATGGAGGTGGGTTTTTTTTTTTACTATAAGCCTCATTTTTTCTAGGCTATTCAGCCTCACTTCTTCTTGCAGGAAAAACTAGAACCATCTGTTAAATACAGATAAAACCTTGTCTTCTGGTTAAGCTTTGTGATACTTCTGCGTTTGATGAACAGAGTTTGCAAGACCATGAATAAAGACTTTTTTGGCATATGCCATCTAGATCTTTGGCAATTGAACAATCATAGTTAAACATGACAAAATCTGTAGTAAGCTACTGAAGTAACCGACTATACTATCTGTAACACCTTCTTCTCAGTGAGGGGTACTTTGTTATGTTATAAATAATTTACTTCAGGGATAATATTTTATATATTTCAGGTAAATTATACTAATTTAACCAGTATGCAGTAAGGATATATCTGTTTTGAGAACAGGTCATAGTCAGGAAAAAGAAAATGTAGACTCCTAGGACATATTTCTGCAGGGGAATTAGAGATAACAGTGAAGAAGTCACCCACCAGAACTGCAGCTGTTARTGGTAAACCTTATTGAAAAAATGAGAAGAAGCTCTTTGATAGAAAGTATCCACTTGCAGTATTTTCAGTGCAAAKTTTCATTAGGCTTCATTTATCCAGCAGCCACCTCAGCCAGATGAAGGGTACCTGGATTGGTTGAAAAGAACTGAAATGTCTACGTAATACCCACTTTAACTTTTAATGGTTTTATGCAATTATGGAGAAGGCTGTGGAAGAAGGTGTAATTCACAAAGGTACTTTGAAGAGAAAGGCTGAGCAGAGGATCAAAAGCTCAGGTAGATGTTGCTGTGCTCTGGTTGTGGCCTAAGAAGAGTTAAATGTATATTTTTCTAACTTTGAAGTCCAATAGCTTAGCTTTTTAGTCTGAGCAAATATTACGTTTAACTGTATATTTATACATTTATATATATTATCTTTTCACACTAACTAGAGACAAAAATACATCACTTTAGATACTTACTGTCAATATTTTCATCCACTTAGTCCAATTTCTCTGATTCTCTAGCAGTAATTATGAACTAGAACCTTGATTTTTTTTTTTAAATTCAGTTTTATTTGCTGTAGTGTTGTTTGGTTTGGGTTTTTTTGTTTTTTTTTTTTTTTGCTATAACTCCGTGTTGGGGAACTCATAACATTCATGGCCACTTAAGAACCAGAAGAAGCTGAACCTGTGCAATGTGGTGGGTGAAATATGGTCATTACCACAGTCAGGCATAGACTAGACATAGATTTCTTTCTTTGGCTGTGATTGCATGGGAAGCCCATCATTGATYAGACTCCTGGAAGGAGCTGTGTGCCTGTGGAGAGAGGAATCCACACTGGAGCAGCTTTGCTGGCAGGACTTGTGACTCYATGGGGAACCCAAGCTGAAGCAGTGCATTCCTGAAGGACTGCACTCCATGGAAGGGATCTACTCTCAGCAGTTTGTGATGAACTGCAGCCCCTGGGAGGGTATCATGCTGCAGAAGTTTGGTGAACTGTTGCTTGTGGGTGGAATGCCATGTTGGAGGAGGGGAAGAGAGAAAGGAGATAGAAATTGCTGAGACAATGTGAGATGAACTGACTGCAGYCCCCATTCCTGGTCTCCCTGTGTCACTTGGGGRTGGGAAGATGGTAAAGAAATCAGGAGGGAGGTTGAACCCAGAAAGAAGGGAGGGCTGGCTGTGAGGTTTATTTAAGATTTGGTTTTATTTCTCATTATCCTACCCTGATTTCATTGGTAATAAATTAGATTTAATTTCCCCGAGTTGAGTYTGTTTTTCCTGTGATGGTAGCTGGTGAGTGATCTCTCCCTGTCCTACTTTTGCCCCATGAGCATATAATTATATTTTCTCTCTATTGTCCTGTTGAAGAAGGGGAGTGACAGAGCAGCTTCGGTGGGCACCTGGTGTCCAGCCAGGTCAAACCACCACAAGGAGGTAGGTAAGTTATTGAGTCCTGGTAAGAAGTTCTGCTTAGGGTTATATACTGTGCAACAGAGCATGGGATAAACAACCTGKTGTTTCTGAAATTAGAAGCAACATAGCTTGGGCTAACATGGGATATTTCTTTTGAGACCTGAACTAGAATTTCTGCTTTTGATACCCTGTGTCAGGTGTATGGAGTGTCATTCATCAAATGGCTGCTTCATGTCAATGGAATTTCTGTGTGCAGAAAAGGATGAAAATATACCCTTTGTGTTCTGCAGCAAGATTCTGCTCTGCCCCAGTTTTCTCTCCTGGGTTTGTTTTTGGGCAGGGATTGCTCTRTTCTTTGATATTGTCTTTGATTTATGTCTGTGAAGAGCTATGAAGGCATCTTTTGTCTTCCTTTGTCAAAAGTATTACTTTCAGTAACTTCCATGTCTTCTACTATATTCTTGGTTTTATTTACTCCATTGTCATAAAAGTGTTGACTGCTGTTTCCCCCTCTCTCATTTACTTTAAATGTCATTCCAGATTTGAATTTCATGTTTTAGGAGTGAGTGGTGGCTTTTTCTTAATTTTCTCCATCTGTGGAGGTATCCCTGATAAACTACATAAATGTCAGCCCTATGAGGATATAGGTCAATCTAATAAATAACTTASATCAAAGCTTGTACCCTGGCTGGAGGGAAGCAAGGGAGAATATTAAAGATGTAAGATGATACAATTTCCAAGCTTACACAAACTCACAAAAACCCAAACAAAACCCCCATCTTTCCACTTCTGATTGTTTAATTGGGATTTTGGAAAAGCAGACAAAATCTCACAAATGAGTGAAGTGATTGTTTAATCTGGCTGCTAGTTGCTCCTCCTTTATGCAGGGAAATTTACTGCTTTGTCTGTCAGTCTTGAAATGACCATGCGTTGACTTGGAATGTGCATGTCATTCACCCAAGCAGATGTATCTAGCCATGAGTTCTCAAATGGCCCATAACAGAGAAATCTGTCTGAACACAAGCGATGCTTAAACGTAACAATCCATGTATATGCAGAACCACGTATACAGTAGTTGAAATGCACAAACATTACTGTTTCTCTTGGAAAATTGCTGTAAATGTTACTTTTCTACTTAATTCCTTATCGTTTTGAATTACTGGGAAGTAGCTCTTCATGGAGAAATATWGCAGGTTTTATGTTATTTTTCTGTGTTAGCTCTGCTACTTGATAGRTTCTGGTTACATTGACCTTTATAAATACTTTTGTTTGGACATTAGATTTATTTGTTCTTTTGTCACTGAATAGCAAGGAAAAATTACTAGCTTCAATAAATGTGATGATAACACTTCTAAAAGTAAAGGACAGTTTGGTGGTGGGGGAGTTTTGTTTATTTTTTCTTAAGAGGATTTCTTTTTGGTGATATGCTGGATCAATTTTACACGATTTTCCACTGGTTTTAGAAGCTTAGTAAGATGCAGAGTTCTATTTCCAAGTATGCATAAGCATATCTGGGATTCCATGTATTGGAAATGTGATACCAGGACTAGAAGGAAACAGATGAATGTGATCCAGTGTCAAAAAAACTGAGGTTTCTTTGTGAAGAAAAACTTCACAGAATTTCTTATGATAGAATCATAGAATATGCTGAGTTGGAAGAAACCCATCAGGCTCATCAAATCCAGTTCCTGGCCTTGCACAGGACAACCCCAAGAATCATGCCATGTGCCTGAGAGCGTTGTTCAGATGCTTCTTGAACTCTGTCAGGCTGGTGCTGTGACCACTTCTTTGGGGAACCTGTTCCATAGCCCAACCACTCTCTGGGTGGAGAACATTTTCYTAATATCCAACCTAAACCTTCCCTGACTTAGCTTCATGCTATTTCCTTGAGTCTTGTTCCTAGTCASAAGAGAGAAGATCAATGTCTGCCCCTCATCCTTGTGAGGATGTTGAAAACCACAATGAGATCTCCCCTCAGTCTCTTTTCCAGGCTGAACAGACCAAGTRACCTCAGACACTCCTCATATGGCTTTGCCTCCAGACCCTTCRCTATCCTTTGGATGAACTCTAACAGCTTAATATCTTTTTTGTACTGTGGCGCCCAAAGTTGCGCACAGGACTGCAGGTGAGGCCACCCCAGGTCAGAGCAGAGAAGAGCAGGACAATCCCCTCCCCTGCCCGGCTGGTGATGCTGTGCCTGATGCCCCCCAAGACACTCTTGGCCCTCCTGGCTGCCAGGGCACTGCTGGCTCATATCCAGCTTGCCGCAGACCAGGACCCCATGTCCTTTT